CTAAAACAAATACTCCAAAAGTCTATATGGAACCAAAAAAGACCCTGAATAGCCACAGCAATGCTGAAAAAGAAAAAGAACAAAGTAGGAAGGATCACAATACCAGATATCAGGTTATAGTACAACGCTACTGTAATCAAAACAGCCTGGTCCTGGCACAAGAACAGGCATATAGATCAGTAGAACAGAACAAAGAACCTAGAAACTGACCTAAGACATAATGCTCAATTAACATTTGACAAAGATGGGAAGAGCATGCAACAGAGTAAAAACAGCTTCTTTAATAAATGGTGTTGGGAAAATTGTACAGCTATATGCCAAGAAATAAAATTAGACCACCAACTTAAATAATACACAAGTATAATCTCAAAATGGATAAAAGACTTAAATGCAACTCGTGAATCCACAAAAATCATAGGAGAATATGTAGGCAACAAAATTTCAGACATCACATGCAGCAAAATTTTCGCTGATACAACACCTAAGGCAAGAGAAACAAAGGAAAACATTAATACATGGGACTGCATCAAACTAAAAACTTCTGCACAGCAAAAAAAAAAAACGTGCATCAAAATGGAAAGGGAACCCATTATATGGAAGAGTATCACCTCACACCTGCCAGAATGGCTGCCATCAACAAATCATCAAACAACAAGAGCTGGCGAGGGTGTGGAGAAGAGGGGACTCTGGTACACTGCTGATGGGAATGCAGACTGGTGCATCCACTGTGAAAAACAGTATGTTTCCTCAAACAATTAAAAATGGGACTGCCATTTGACCCAGTGATCCCACTTCTAGGAATATATCCTAAGAAGCCTGAAACAATCAACAGAAGGAATATATGTACCCCTATGTTCATAGCAGCACTATTTACAATTGCTAAGATATGGTAATAGCCCAAGTATCCAATAGATGAGTGAATAAAAAATCAGTAGTACATATACACCATGCAGCTGTAAGAAAGAAAGATATCTTGCCCTGGCCGGTTTGGCTCAGCGGTTGGAGTGTCCGCCTGAGAACCAGAGAGTCTCGGGTTCAGTTCCCGTTAGGTGCATGTACCAAAAAAAAAAAAAAAAAAAAAGATATCTTATCCTTTGAGACAACATGGAGGGACCTAGAGAGTAGTATGCTAAGTGAAATAAGCCAGTCAGAGAAAGACAAATACTACATAATTTCACTTATTTGTGGAATATAATAAACATAACAAGCTGATGAACAAAATGGACCCAGAGACATAGAAAGGAGTATGGTTCAGATTGACTAACCTCAGAGGAGGGGAGGAGGCATGTGATAAACCAAAGAACTTATATGCATATATGCACAACCAATAGATATAAACAACAATGTTGTGGGTTTGGGGGTGTGATAGGGAGGAGGGTGTCTGGTGGGGGAAAGGAGAACCATCTGTAAGATAAATAAGTTAATTAAAAATATATATATATAGCCCTGGCTGTTTTGGCTCAGTAGTTAAGAGCTTCGGCCCACGGACCAGAGAGTCTTAGGTTCAATTATGTACCTTGGTTGCAATTCGTCCCCAACCCCAGTTGGGGTCATGTGGGTGACAACCAATTGATTGATGTCTCTCTCTCTCACATCGTTGTTTCTCTCTACCTCAACCTCCCTCTCTCCCTCCTGCTCTATCTGAAGATAAATGCAAAAACGTCCTCGGGTGAGGATTAAAAAAAAAAACTAGAGCAAAAACTTGAAAAATATCTGTACTACAACAAAGAATAAATACCTTATATATGAAGAGTTCTTATAGATCACTAAGAAAATGGCAGTATCTCCCACAAAGAAAAGGAGAATGGTGAACAGGCAAATCACAAAGTAGAATAGACCTACAACAGGAGACAGACATGTCCATATCACAAGGGAATATCTGAAAACTCGACAGTCAATAAAAGAATATTAAGGAAAGACTTTCTTTATGATATATATATATATGTGTGTGTGTGTGTGTGTGTATACATATACACTATAAAGTACAGTAATTAAAACAGTGTTATTGGAACACAGATAGACAAGTAAATCAGAGAGCCTAGAAACAGACACATGTACATATGGGACCTGGGTTTACCACAAAGTTAGCATTACAAATCAGCGACAAAAAATAAGATTTTGCAATGAATGATGCTGAACTATTGGCTTTAAGCATAAAAAAAGATAAAATTCGCCCCCTATTTTACACCATGTAAAAAAAAAAACCTATAAAACAAAACGATCATTTTGGAATAGAGTATAGATTATCTTTGACACTGGAGTAAGATAATTCACAGAAAGAACAAAGTACAAAAAAATGATAAATTTGGTAACATTAAAAATTTAATGTTCTGCCCTGGCCAGTTTGGCTCAGCGGTTAGAGCGTCGGCCTGTGGTCTGGAGATACCCGGGTTCAGTTCCCGCTAAGGGCACGTACTTCGGTTGCAGTTTGTCCCCGGCCCTGGTTGGTCGTGCAGGTGGCAGCCACTCGATGTGTCCCTTCACATCAATGTTTCTCTCTCTCTCTCTCCCTTCCTCTCTCTCCCTCCCACTCTATCTGTACAAAAAATGGAAAAATATCCTCGGGTGAGGATAAAAAAAAAAAAAATTTAATGTTTTGTATGCATAAGACACGATAAAATAAAACAAGCCACAGACTAAAGAACTATTTTTTTTCTCACTGATTTATAATGGTACTTCTGCCATATATTAGTACATAAAATATTTAAAGAAACCTAAGAAAATCAAAAAGATGTGAATGGCCCAATTTTAAAAAAATGGGCAAAGGATATCAACAGGTAATTTACAAAAGAAAACTAAATAGCTAATACCTATATAAAATACTCAAACTCACTCATTACCAGAGAAATGTATGTTTAAAAATATAAAATATCATTTTATACTCATTAAATTGACAGAAATTAGTAAATCTAATGGTATCAACTGTTGACCAGGATAGTGGTGAGATCCTGGCAATTCCTAATAAAGCTAAACGTGATAAATTAAGACCTAGTAATTCTTATTCTGCTTATTTACCCTAAACCAACTCTCAAGATAAACATAAGGAGCCCAGCCAGTGTGGCTAAATGGATTGAGCATTGTCCCATAGACTGAGAGGTCCCAGTTTGATTCCCAGTCAGGGTACATGCCCTGGTTGTGGGGCTTGATCCCCAGTGGGGGAGTTGAAGGGGGTGTGCAGAAGGCAGCTGATCAGTGTTTCTCTCTTACATTGATATTTCTATCTGTTTCTCCCTTCCTCTCTCTCTAAAAACTCAATAAAAACATATAAAAAATTATTTAAAAAAAGGTGAACATAGTCTATAAAAGGATGATCACTACAATTCTCATTAACACCAAAGAAATAAAAATAAACTAGTCAGTTTATTCACACAATAGACTTACTCCATAGTAGTTAAGTGAATAAACACAATTCATATGTTTTAACATAGATTAACATCAAAATACAATGTGAAGTTTAAAAAAATGAATTATGAAAGTATAACATAATACTATATACATTTTTATACATATGTATATGTATATATACATATATATATACATATACACACACAAACATTAGACTGTTTCACATCAATTGCAGAAATTGGTTATTTCTAGGGAAAAAAGAATAAAAGGACTTTAATCAAACCTGTAATATTTTTTATTTCTTATAAAGTAAAAGATACCACACACTTATAATGGCTCAAATTAAGAAGACAGACAATATTAAGTATTGATAAGGATGCAGAGCAACTAGAATTCACATACTCTGCTGGTGGGAATGTAACTGGTTCAATTAGTTGGAAAATCTTATTTTTTAAATCCTTACCTGAGGATATTTTCCTATTAATTTTTTGATAGAGTAGAAGGGAGGGAAGGAGAGAGAGAGAGAGAAAAACATTGATATCAGAGAGAAACATTGATCAGTTGCCTCCTGCACAACCCTGACTGGCAACTCAGGTATGTGCTCTTGACCAGGAATTGAACCCATGACCCTCTGGTCCACGGGCCAATGCTCTAATTGCTGAAAATCAGCCAAAGTCTGAGGATATGCTTTTCATTGACTCTAGAGAGAGAGAAAGGGAAAGGGAGAGAAACTTTGATGTGACAGAGAAACACTGTACTCACCCTTCTGTACTCACCCCAACTGGGAATTCACCCGCAATCTGGGTATGTGCCTTGGCTAGAAATTGAACCCGAGACTCTAGGCTGCTCAGGACAATGCTCTAACAAACTGAGCCACACCAGCCAGTCACTTTAGAAACCTTTTGACAATATCTACCAAAAGTGAACGTTGACCTACCCTCAGACCCACCAATTCAACTTAATGTATATATCTAACAGAAACACATATGTGTTCATCAAAAGACAGAATGTACAGAGCAACACTACACATATAGCTAAAAATGGAACTACCCAAATGCCCATCTCAGGAGAACGGATAAACTGGTATCATGACACAATGAATATGAGACAGTGAGAATGAACGAACTACAACTAAATGTTACAATGTGAATGTATCTCATAGTAATCAGTGAAGGAAGCCAGGCACAACAGTACATACAGTATGATTCTGTTTATATAAAGTTCAAGAATAGCCAAAACTAATCTGTGGTACTAGAAATTAGGATCAAATGACTCTAGGAAGGAGGGAGGTGACTTAAAGAGGGCACAAAGGTGCTTCTAGGGGTGCTGGTCAGGTTGTTTCTTGATTTGGGAGCTAGTTACATAAATGTGTTCAATTTGTAAAAATGCATAGACCTGTATAGTTATATTTTTATTTATTTTATATTGAATAAAGGAAGAAAAAGAGGCAAATAAAGTAAAATATTAGCATGTTAGAAAAATATTAATTTTTCTTGATTTATATATATATATTTAAATTGCTATATAATTTAAAATATTTTAAAAATAAAAGCACGTAGGCACTCCTAATAGTCTTTCTTAAGCACTTAAAAATGCCAATTCTTCACTGCCCTAAGGGGCTATTATTTCTGAAGACTCCCTTCTATCTGACTCACCTGAATAGCTGCTTTTGGGGACTTTTGCCTGTAACATCAATGGTTCCTTTCCATTCTCCAAATTGTAGTTCTCAGGCTTGGAAACCGGAAGCCCTGCTCATTAAAAATTAGAAAGAAAGAAAGATATGGACTTAGCTATTTGTGATGGGCACAAACATCTATCCTGAAGCAGTGTGCCTACCCCCTGATCTACAAAGAGGACAGGAATTACAGGAAGATCTGAGTGAAAGAAGATGGACCCCTACATAAAACTTAAAATATTTGCAGCAGGAGTCTGGGGCTGGTAAGTTTATATGCACTTGAAAACACACACATTTTTGTTTTGTTTTGTTTTGATCCTCACCCAAGGATGAGGATCATTTTTTGATATTTTGTTCAGATAGAGTGGGAGGGAGAGAGAGAGAGAGAAACAACGACGTGAAAGGGACACATCAAGTGGGTGCCACCCGCACAACCCAACCAGGGCCGGGGACAAACTGCAACCGAGGTATGTGCCCTTAGCGGGACCCGAACCCGGGTCTCTCCAGACCGCAGGCCAATGCTCTAACAGCTGAGCCAAACCGGCCAGGGCTCCACACACATTTTTGCCTGTCATAAAAAAAGAGAACTTCTTTCTTCACTGAGGAAGTTCCGGAAAGACACTATAGATCAGCGGTTCTCAACCTGTGGGTCGCGACCCCTTTGGGGGTCGAATGACCCTTTCACAGGGGTCGCCTAAGACATAACAGTAGCAATATTACAGTTATGAATTAGCAACAAAAATAATTTTATGGTTGGGGGTCACCACAACATGAGGAACTGTATTAAAGGGCCACGGCATTAGGAAGGTTGAGAACCACTGCTATAGATCAATCCTTCACTTGGGGGAGAAGTTGAAGCAAATGGAACCTCAGTGGTAGCATCACAACGTTGTTACTGTGGAAACTAAATTTTTGTCTTCTGTTTTCCTTTCTTCCTTATTTAGTTACTAGAACCCATTTTCTTAGGAAATTTATTACATGAGGTTTGGGAGGGGCTAACATAGTTCTTCCCACACCCATACAAACACATTTGCATGTGTACATGCATCCACACAGGCGGGCACAGGATCCCTGCTGCCCAGAGTACCCTATCTCAGTGGCTCTAGTAGTTGTTTCAATGATCAGCATGTGACCCTATTTGCTCACACTCCCAGGATAGAAGCACTACCTTTTATTCCTTAGCTCTCTAACTGGAAGAATAATATAATCCTAGAGCTGCCAATGGCCTTCTTTGCCACATGGAGAGATCCTAAGAATAAAACCAATAGAGAGCAAAGCCAAGCCATGTGATTAAAAAACAAAAAACAAATTCCTGATAATATATTTGATTCCCTTAATCAAGATTTTCCTTCCAGGGAACGGAATCTAACACCTCAACTCTCCCTAGACCCACTACTCTTAGTTAACAGAAGTCTTCATCTTCAGGGGATGGGGTGCAATACTGTTACCCGAGGGCACTGATGGAAACTCAATGCAGATGGGAGAAGGGAATGGAAAATAAAAGAAATTTTTACCATGGAAGAAGGGTAGGGAGATATATATTGGGCCCAGCATTATGAATGAAGGAAGACAGAAATATTTATAAAGTCCACACCTTCTAATCCAGGTTCACAGTGCCCAGTAAAGAGTGAGCTTAATCAGATCAAAAACACCCCATCTTTTCCCATCTCCCACCAGCAGGCTAATAGATTAACTCTTGCAAGTTATACAAGTAAATAACCTAAATTAATTTCATAATACCATATTTTGAAGGCAAAGATAAGCAATAACACTTGGGCTACAGTACTTGACAGAAGCAAGCGTGATGTAGTATCCATATTCACCTTGATGGTATTTCCAAATCATGGTGTGGGGCAGTAAAGTACTAGTAAAAAGCAAAAGTCTTACTGCTGCTGATAGAGTCTTTACTGCAATTTAGTTCTATCAAATTACTGTTATTTAAGAAACACGACCAATAGAGAAAGAAACTATAGAGAATGAGCAACAAAATCTATGGACAAACACCATTCAATCTTTTTGAGTCCTGAGCTGTATATATGAAAACACAAACATAAGTTACCCAGTAGACCACAACAGATGGGGGATAAAATGCTGAAGAGAGATTTTAGAAACTACAGATTTCTAGAAAGTGAGGTTGTACTTTATCCCACATCAATATGGACAAGCTGTTAGTGTGGACTTTTAGTTGAAAATCTATAAGGCCACAAACTACAAAAAGAAATACCTTAAAAGCAATTTCCCCTCCCTAGGGGTAAGCCCTGCACCTTAGAAATAAAGGGAAAACTAAAACAGAACCATCTGAAAAACAATCAGGCAGAATCAAGGTGATCACTTGTTACTCAATTCCAGAAGACAGTCAGGAAATGATTATCTACCTCTTTAAAAAAATAGATAAACTTATTTAACTTACAATAAATGTTTTTTTAGTCATTTTAAAAAAAGTTTTTCCCCCATTGAAGCTAGTGTGAACTTGAATCCAAAGAATAGAAAACAAGCGTAGTTCACCAAGAACCTAGAACAGAAAGAGATTTTTTCTGGGTCCAAAGGGATTCATTTGTTAAGCTATTTAACTTTCAATAAAGTAATGATGTCCCACAAGCAGGCTGCAGAGTCACAATGAGAAGCCATCCTTACAAAGTGAGACCAGGTTCCTATAGTTCTCCAGCATCACATCCCTTTGCGAAGGATCCAGCTTCCCCCATTCCTCTGGGGTAAAGTCCATGGCCACATCCTTGAATGTCACAGATGCCTAGGACATAAAACATACTTTCGTTCACCATCTTTCACTTGAGAGCATCCCTTTTACCCCCCCCCCCCCCATTGTTGGTGGCCCTGGAGCAGAGGGACTGAATACATTCAAAAGGGAAAATGACAGTGATAAAAGACAAGTGTTCTAGTAGTAGTCAGTATCACTTATGTGCCAGGCATGCTGTGTTAGGTTCAATATGAAAACCAAAAGAAATACAACTATGGTTTCTCCATTGAGAGACTAGCAGTTTTCTGGGGAATAAAGAATTTAAACAATGAGTCAATAATGTAGTTTGGCAAAGTAAACAAAATATAGGCAGAAGATTAAAAAAAAAAAAAGGCATATCTGAATAACTCTCCTTGTGAGTCTTCAATAAAAACTTGAATCAATCTAGCCAATGAGAAGCTAGGTTTTATGAATGGAGAAGTCACGGAGTGAAAAGACTGTCAGTGAGCACCAAATCCAAAATAAGCAAGGAATTAATTCAAGGCAAAAAGCATTACCTGAAAAATGATGGCAACAAATTGATTAAGGGTATAGATATAACTCATATATATTTATATGCAAATATCATAGAATTAAGTTTCTATAAGACAAAAAATACAAAACTGTAAGGAGGTCAACATATAAGTATTACATGCCTTTACAGTGATACCTCGGTTCTCGAACATAATTCGTTCCAGGAGGACGGTTGAGAACCGAATTGTTCGAGAACCGAAGCAATGAAACCAATAGGAAAGTGTGACTCCACAAAGCGTGACTCTCTCTCTGCACTCACACTGATGACGCGAGCAAGGCGCGCTGGGCCGAATGAACGCCATTCGGCTCAACTCAGCTCATCTTGGAAGTTCGAGTTCCAAATATTTGTTTGGATTCCGAGACAAAAGTTTCTCGAATCTCCATTTGGTCGAAAACCGAGGTGTTCGAGAACCGAGGTATCACTGGTATATTTATTTACTTACTTTGTAAAAGAATATGAGGTAGTTTATTTTTATTTTTTATTGATTTTACAGAGGGAGGAAGGGAGAGAGATTGAGAGAGAAAAACATTGATATACGAGAGATACATCAATCGGCTGCCTTCAGGACGTGCCCCCCCTGGGGATCAAACCAACAACCTAGGTATGTACCCTGACTAGGAATCAAACCCGGGACATTCCAGTGCATGGGATGACACTCCAACCAACTCAGCCATACCAGCCAGGGCATTACATGCCTTTTAAAATAAAACCACTGAGCATGGGAATAATAATCCAAGGTTGTTGAAATAAGTATATATCAAATGCTATAACTGGATAGAAAACACCTTCTATTTAAACATTCATGAAGCATTTGCAAAAGTAACAAAATAAATTTAAATTAATTCCAAAACATAAATAGAACAGATCATTGAAAAAACATCAAAGTTTCAAAACAGCCCTGGCCCATTTGGCTCAGCAGTTAGAGCGTCGGCCTGCGGTCCAGAGATTCAGGTTCAGTTCCCATTAAGGGCGAGTACCTCGGTTGCAGTTTGTCCCCGGCCCTGGTTGGGTCGTGCGGGTGGCAGCCACTCGATGTGTCCCTTTCACGTCGAAGTTTCTCTCTCTCTCCCCCTCCCACTCTATCTGAACAAAAAAATGGAAAAAAAAAAAAGTTTCAAAATAATAAAATAAAATGCAAAACCAAAGCCAAATCAGTAAAACTGTACTCAGAGGTAATTTCATAGCTTTAGACACTTTCATTTCATTAAAAGATAATGTAAATAAGTGAACAAAACATATAGGTTAATTTAAGGAAAGAACAACAAACTAAGAAACATAGAAAGATTTATAGGATAAAAGCAGAAATTAAGGAGGGGGGACAAGAAAAACAGGATAGCTTGGAAATCTAAGTAAGGTCAGTAGGTTACAGTACTATATCAATGCTAATTTCCTGATTTTGGAAAATAGGAATAAAGCGAGGTAAAATGTTAACTTTCAGGGAATATGAATGGAGATTATGTAAAAAATGTTCCTACCATTTGCAACATTTGTTTACGTCTTAAGTTATTTCAAGAGTTTTCAAAAATGAAAATAATCTGAGACATAAAAAAAATACAAGAATCATCCTTGGAAAATAAAATAAAACGTAAATCACTAAGAAGTCACTAAGTAGACAAGATATTTTGAGGATACATGACCATGATTTTATAATCTGCATATCCACAGCTAAACTGACACTCAATGCAAATTAAATTCCAGACCATTAGAAGAAAATAAATCAGGATAGAAATGTAAACCACTGTACAAAAGGCAGAAAAAAAAATACAAAAGAAACAAAGAAAGCATAGTAAATAGAATTATAAAAATCACATTGCAAAAAAAAAATGTAAACACACAAATAATCATATTAGTGTGAATGAGTTAATTTCTTTAAAAAAATTTTTTTTTTTTTAAAAGCCAAATCCTCTATACACAAAGACACTCCTAAAAAGACTCCAAAGTTGGGGACTTGGGATTGGAGAAATCGAAGGAAATATCACATCTCACTATAGTAGTGCAAGTTCAACAAAGGCATATGGAAAATATACATCAAACTGTTATCCTCAGTAGGGAGAAGTAGCGGACTGAATTTGGGAAGGGAAGTAATATTGCTTTTATACTTATATATGTCTGTGCTGTTCACCTAGTTACAATAACCAAGAATTAAAACGTTAATATTTTTAAAAAATATAACACGACAAAAAATACTCCAGGAAAATTCTAATTAGATAGTTGTAATATTAGCATCAAACCAAATCTAATACAATGCAAAACGGACAAAGATTTTTTAAATTTCCACAAAAGGTTGAATCTACCCCCAGGCTGTAACAGTCTAGAATCTAATATCAAAGTGTTTCTCTGGCACCTGTAGACAGATGTTCCTCTGGCTGCTATGCCTGGCAGTATTCATTCCATCTCTGATTCATGGGTGGTATGTGTATTTCCATGTGTCTGCAGGTATATTCCATAGGTCTGCCCAATTTGAGAAATTATACTTAGATCTGGACAATAACTGGTCCGAGGGTTAGCCTAATACCCATTAAAGAGTTAATCCCTGACCCTGGCTGGTTTGGCTCAGCAGTTAGAGCATTGGCCTGCGGACCAGAGAGACCCAGGTTTGGTTCCTGCTAAGGGCATGCATGTACCTTGGCTGCAGTTTGTCCCGGGCCGCATTGGGGTCATGTGGGTGGCAACCATTCCATGTGTCTCTCTCCAGTCAATGTTTCTCTCTCTCTCTCTCTCTCTCTTCATCCCTCTCTCCCTCCCACTCTACCTGAAGATAAGTGCAAAAATGTCCTTGAGAGAGGATTTTAAAAAAAACTGTTAATCCCTGGATTTCTGCTGGAATGACTAGGCAGGAAGCTGCCTTTTATCTCTGATCTTCAATATGTAAGCCTAGATTTGATAGGGACCAGCATTTGGAGAAAAATCTGCTTGAGAGGAAAACCCATAGAGAGAATAGAAAAGATTAGTGAAATGAAGGAAATAAGTTCTAATGTTACTATTTGAGCTCTAAGTCTAGTCAGACCTGGATTTTTCAAGTATGTTAATCAATAAATACCTTTTTGCTTACATCAGTTTGAGTTGAGCTTTTATCAGCTGCAACTTAAACCTTCTTGACTAATAAACTCTTCAATACTAATGTAGAGCAGCTGAGAAACCAATGAAGACAGGCAAGTATATAAGGATCCTGAGAAGTCACTTTGACAAACAGTACCAACGTGCAACATGGACTTTTTACAATTGTAGAGAATAAAAAGTCCAATTCAGGAAGCTTGGGTTTGTGGCATGCCACACACATCATGGAGAGCTCTTTTCTCTTACTCAACTTTTTTTGTTAATCTTCACCCAAATATATTTTTCCATTAATTTTAGAGAGAGTGGAGGCGGGGAGGGAGAGAAAAAACTTCAATGCGAGAGAGATACATCAATTGGTTGGCTCCTGACTAGGGCCGGGGATCAAACATGAAACTCAGGTATATGCCCTTGACTGGAATCAAACCAGAGAGAGACCCTTCCGTCCAAGGGTTGACACTCTAACTGTTGAGTGATACCTGCCAGGGCTTATCCAACTTACTTTAATAAAAATTTCAAACATACAGAAAGTTGAAAGACTAACACACTAATCACCCATATAGTACAACCACCACTTAAGTTCCAACAATTCTTAATATTTGCACTTGTAGGCCAGATTGAAAAGTAAGTTGCTTCACTTCTAAACTTGCAAATGCATCATCTTGCAGGGCTGGATTTTAACTCTTAAATGAAGCGTTCCATAGGCTTTCCTTTCCAAGCACTCCTTTGATCTTTTGAGTACTTACTGTTTTCCTAATTCCCTTCAGCACTTAAGGTGCTTTCTTAAATTCTTACTCAACAATCATGTGTATGTTGTTTCCCCTACGGAAACACACATTTTAAGATATGCCCATGTTTTCTTTGAAAATCCTTTCCAAAGTTACCAAGCTTGGAAATTAACATAATAGGCTAAAGAAGGGTAATGCTCCTCACACACCAGTTGAATGATAATAAATACCAGATGGAGGAGACACCATGGGTCAGTAGAAAACATTTTCTACTGAGCCTATTGGCCACCTGAGTAGTCGTACAATTAGAACTTAGCTCTCCAGATGGGCTCCAGTGGACAAAAAAACTCCACATCAAAAAGAAGGGTGTGCATCTGCACTGAGAAATAAGTGGAATGTCAGTAATCAGCAGAGACTCTCACCTGGGATCTGGCTGTGAGGCGCAGGGCTGCCACTTCTCCCTTTTCTGTGCTCTTCTCTTGGGAATACAAAAAATCCTGGGAAGACATAGCTAAGGGCAAGACAGTGGTCACTACGGGATCTAAATACATCTTGTGACTCAGATCTACAAGATTAAAAACCTCTCCACCATACTAATGATGCTCCCTACAAACTGCCCCTGAGGCAGCCCACACAACTCAGGAGCCCAGGGTCATGGAGAATGTCCAGGAATGTTGTTACTTGGGAGCTTAAATTCATTGTTGCTATAATAGTAACACCTACTGGTAGGTGGAACTCCCTAATCTAGAAATTAGGATAATCCGTTTATTTCTAAGATTAATGCAGATTACAATAATATAAGAAAAGTAGGCTCAGCTCTCAAAAATATCACCCTGCATGCTTATTTAAAGCTGGATCCCACCTCTAAATAATTATTAGTCAAGTCTGAGGTGCAATCTTGCAATCTGATAAGCACCCACGGGTACTTCTGACCAGATCACAACCAAACTTCAAGAAAGACTGGGCTAGTCACTTACCTACCTCTATGCCTGTTTTATACCACACAGAACAAAAATATTTCCACTACTGAAACCATAAGCTTATTGTGCAATGAAATTACAGATGTGCGAAATACTTTTTGCCCGCCATAAAGCTTAATTCAGACTCACTGAGTTTGGTCAAAAGCATGTGGGAGAAAAAGAAACGGAGGCTGTGCTCAGGCCTGAGAGCTAACATCGGGCTGGCATGGTGGGTGGCTCTGAAGGATCCACTGTGCACCAGCCAGACTGGAAGGGGTGCGTGCTCCCACACCCGGCCCTCGCTTCCCACCCCCGGAGCCCAGCCACGGCCCAGACAAAGGGGATGGCAGGCTGTCTGCCAAGGGCCACGCCCCCCACCCCACCCCCGCGACTTCTCTTTAGGACGAAGAACTGCACCTTCCACAGCACAAGACACTTCAGTATCTCTCACCTCTCTTCTCAGCCATTTCGGCCAAATTTCTCTCCATTATCACCAATTCTCCGGTTCTGAAGATTCTGCGCTCTCCCCTCCCTGCCCCTCAATTTGGACCTCTGTGCAGGGGACAGCGAGAAGCCCCGTGCTCCTTCCTGCCTTCCCTCTGGGGCTCCGCGGCCAGGCTTCACTCAGGTGGGTCCGTTCTTCCTCAGCCCTAGGACGCCGGCACCTGGAAGCCCGGGGACAGGGTCCCTGAGATGGATCCGCGGATGCCTGTTCCTGCCGCTGGGAGCGGGACCTGCGGACCCAGCAGCTGGGGGAGCCGGTGCGGGGCTGCCGCCCAGGTACCGGCGCCGGGTTGAGGGCTCTCTCCAGAGCCCCGCGCTACCCCGCGCCCCGCCCGCCGCCCCGCTCTCGCACCCGCGTCCCCGGGTGGCGGCAGCCGCGGGAGCGATTCCGCCCAAGCGTGAAGGGATGGGGCTCATGTCTGCCCTCCGGGCCCCGTCCACGCGCACTCCGGCCGGACTCGCCACACACGGATGCCCCCAGGTCCACTACTGAAGCCAAGCGGAGAAAAGCGGCCTCGCAGTCGTCAACTCACCTCCCATCCGGCTTAACAAAGACTGCGAACTTCTTGGGCCAGCTCGGAGCCGCGCATGCGTAAGAAGGAGGGGGCAAGGCTGGGAGCCTCACCGGGCCTCAGAACTACGATTCCCAGAAGCCTCTAGGCGTTGCCTAACTCCATTGCCCAGCAGGTGGGCGCACCCTCGTGCTATCTGAGGATGCGAAGGAGAAGCTGGCTCCTTCCTTCTCGCGAGAGTTGGGCCTGCATCACCGGTGCCAGGGTCACAGCGCCAGAGAGTGTTGACGTCAGGGACTGTGAGCGGGGGTCAGTGAGGGCAGCCTGCTTGTGGGCACGTAGGACCACAGCCCACTGCTTAGGCCTGCTGAAGAGTTCGACCCAAATTAATCTAATGTAAGATGTATGGGAGGAGGTTGTGCTCTTTCATATATTTTACCGCCCCCCCCACTCCTTAGCCTTCATGTAAAAGGTGTAGTTTTAGAAACAGCAGGTTGTGTATGCAAATCAACCTTCTTGCGTCCATCCATAGACTACTTGTAATACTGAAAATACACATGCGAGATAGATAAGTTGAAAATATTCAACTATGTCCAGCAAATGTGAGCAACAGGTTCTTTTAAGCAGGAATAAACATTAATTTAATCAAAGAGAGGTTCTCTCAAAGGAGCTTGGTTAGTCTCTTATCCTGGTGGACTAACCAGCACCTCCAACTCAACATGTTGAAACTACCCTCCTCTTCACAAATTCATTTGCAAAAGCAAGAATGAGAATATCCCCAACGCTTCTCTCACTGCCTACCACTAAGTCCTATTTATTGTTTCCTAAGTAATTCTCCTATTTGTCCATCTTTCTCTTTTATTTTAATGTTTTTTCAAAATGTATTTTTTAATTACAGTTGACATACAATATTGTATTTGTTTCAGATATACAACATAGTGATGAGACCTTTATATACCTTACAAAGTGATCACCACTATAAGCCTATTATCTGTCTGTCACATCACATGGTTATTACAATATTATTGACTATATTCCCTTTGCTGTACATTACATCCCTGTGACTTATTTTATAACCTGCAATTTGTACTGCTTAATCCCCTTCAACTTTTTCACCCAATCCCCCGACCTCATCCTTTCTAATAACCATTGGTTTGTTGTTTGTATCTATGAGTTTGTTTGTTTTTGTTGTTCATTTGTTCACAAATATTTGTCTTTTTCTCTTTGACTTATTTCACTTAGCATAATGCATTTCACATCTATCAATGTTGTCCCAAATAGCAAGGTTTCATTATGTGTGTGTGTGTATTATATCTCACTTTTTAAAAATTAATTTATTTTTTTGTTACAATTAGCTTCTTAACTGATTTCTCTAATTCAAGTTTTCTTTCCCATCAATCTATTACCACACTTTATGGCCAGGGATCACTCTAAAGCAAGAATATAATGTTACATTACTGCTTAAAATTTGTCAATGATTTTCAAAAACTTTGGAGAAAGATGACTTTTAGTTTCCACAGATGGCACCCCTTATCCAGCTCCCATTATCTGTGCCCCCTGGTATTCACACCTTTGTTTAATCCGCCTCCATCCCAGTGTGTGGGTAGGGTCTGTGACATACTTGTAAAAATGTAACACAACAAAGGTGACATAATCTAATGCTTGTCTTGCTAGGAGACTTCTTGCTGGCTTTGATGAAGGAAGCAGTGGTGTTGGCGAGGCCCACATGACAAGGAACTGTGGGTGGCCTTCAGCCAACAGCCAGCAAGAGCCTGAACCCTGTCAACAACCCACAGGTAGTGTGTTCCTGAGAACCTAGTCCTGGTTAACAACTTGAGAGCCAGCTGCAGAGGACCCAGACCTTCACCCACGGATACTATGAGAAACAAATGTGGGCTATTTTGAGCCACTAAATATATAGTAATATTGTTATGTAAAAAAAGATAATTAACACAGTATTCTAACTTAAATGGCCAGCTTCTTCCCCCAAACCCAACCTGGAGATCTTCTGCAAAGGTGGAAGTTTTTGGATTGAGAAACTATTGAAAAATTGATTGGAAACTCTCTGGAAGACAGAGGGTCCTATGATATGTGTGTGTATGTGTGTGTAGATTATAAGAGAATGATGGAAGTAATGGAAAACTCCTAGAGGCCACAAAGGGGCTGTGGGGAGGTGCTGTAGGGAGTGGGTTGGTTTTTAGTGTTTTGTATACTCCTTTCTGTTCACCTCGTTGCCCTAGGTGAATCTTGCCCACTCTTGCACCATTGCAGTGTAGCCTTGGACCTGGGCTGGGAGAGGAGTAGATACTAATAGATAAAAACAGGTCTACTTCAAAGGGTTTTATTAACCTTTCTCCCACCCTGATACACACACATCTGCACACACACAGCAAATCAGATGATCACTGCCAAAAAGAGGTATCATTGGAGATGTTCCCTGAAGGATAAAATTACCTAGTAGAAAGAGGGTGGTATGGGGAGTGGTCATGCCAAATTATAACATTATAGATTCTCTGCTTTGAAAACAACTAAAATCCTCCTGATCTCTGCACCTCTCCCACATACATACATACAATTGATCTGTAGCTTATACCCTTCCTGGTGAGTTGAAAGAGGAATAGGAAACACCCCAGGTTTTTGGTTCTCTCCCTCCCTACATCACCAGCTTATAACCTGGGCCTGGGGAATTTGAGCTCACAAGGAAAAAGAAACTATCTGAAGAAGTCTGTTGATATTGATTTATAAAAACGATAAACTGAAAAATCTACACAGATGAGGCAGAATTAGTGAACCACTTAGAATAAAATATATGTATTTTTTAAAGCTATCTTTAAAAAGATAAAGGAGATATAAGAAACATTCGGCAATAATTGTCATAAAAATAAACTGTGAAAAATATAATGGTGAAATAAGGTATTCAATACTTTATTGAATAGCATAATGTGTAAAATTGAAGAGTGAATTTGAAAGCTGGACTGTCCTGGCTGGTTTGGCTCAGTGGTTAGAGTGTCAGCCCACAGACCAGAGAGTCCCAGGTTCAGTTCCCACTAAGGGCACATACTTCAGTGGTGGTTCATTCCCGGCCCTGGTTGGGGTTGTGCAGGTGGCAACCAGTCGATGCATCTCTCTCACATTGATGTTTCTGCCTCTTTCTCTTCATCCCTCTCTTCCTCCCGCTTTGTCTGAAGATAAATGCAAAAAAAAAAAAAAAAAAAGTCCTTGGGTGAGGATAAAAAAAAATAGTAAAATAAAAAATGAAAGTTGGACTACCAGGTCAAAGAACACGACTCTTCAATCAGCTATCAGGAAGGGATAAAAAAGATGACAAATATAGAAGAAATGTTAAGCAATATGGAGACTGACTAGATATTTACATGAGAGTCCTAGAAGGAAGGAAAGAATAAACAAAGAAGAAACTATTTTTAAAAATAATAACCAAAAATTGTGAAGAAATAAAGTTTAAGAACTTAGATTAAAAATGCTCACAGAAAATATATGAAAAGACACCATATAATAAAATCAAACAATATAAATGGTTGACACCCTGGAGAGTTCCCTGGTGAACTTTGACCTGACTCCCCTGTATGGAGGGCAGGGAGAGACTGGAGAAAGAGGCAAACCACTCCAGATTGGTAGGTGGCAATTTCAGTTAGTAAGGGAACTTATATACATGGCTCATGTTGGGCTGCTGAGAGATGAGTAAATCTCTGCACATGTCTACCAGAGTCTTAACAGTTTATATAGAGGCTTTATCTGGGTTCAGTCACATGTTCAGTTAAGATAGCCTCAGTAAATCATTATCCTCTCAAGGCTGCATCATTGAAACAGCTCCTACTGTGGGAATGATGGGCAGAACATACAGTCCAAGGCAATGGGAGGGAGTGAAGAGCCTCCAACTGCTGGGTCTAGCTCACAGGTCAACCAACACTCACATCTCTTGATGACTTCCTTCAAAAGTAAATAACAAAGAAGAAATTCTGATACCTTTCAGACAAAAGACATTCAAAATGAAATCAGCAGTCTCAAAAACATTGCCTGGCATTTTATGGCCCCTCAATAAATAATAATTGAATAAATAAATCTAATTTGTAAATAGTAGTACTGAGTGCAAGAAGAAAATGTAATGATATTTTCAAATTGTAGAACATAAAACTTTGAATCTAGAATTTTATATAGCGTGTCCCCCCAAAAATATACACACAGCCTTGAATAAGTATAAAGCAAATGTTTATTAAAATGCATTTTATTTTCAAAATGTAATAGAACCTACAGACACCCTGTTGTATACATTTTTGTGGATACCTTATATCTTATTTAAATAGTCTATAAATGAGGCAAAATATAGATACTCTTATGCATTTAAGACTTTGAAAATATTCTTGGAGGAATTATTTCAGCAAAAAGAAAAAATTAGGATGATGCCTCAAGATATAAAGCAAGAACAAGCAATACTCCAGTAAAGAGTTGATTATCTTCTTAATAATGAAGGAGCAGAGATAGACAGAGTGGAACCAGTTCCATTTGTATAATATTCAATATTAATAACTTACAATACCATTGTGGGTGAGGTAGGAAGTAGAAAGGAGAAAGTGAGAGTGGTGAAGGTACTTCTTATTAGAGGAAGGATATACATATTCATGGGTTTAATAAATGGATGGAAGAGGGAAGGGAGAAAGCATAGATGTGTACTTTAATAAGTTAGGTACAAGTACCATGAGAATAAAAGTAGGGTGTATAACATTCAAACCAAAAGAACCAAATTGATCATTCAATGGAAAACAAGAAAATATGGTAAAGGGAAAACACAGAATAAGACCTGTTATATCAATTATCACAATAAATGTCAGAGATACTCATAAAAAGTCAGAATTTCTATTTATTTTTTAAATATTTTTCTTTATTGGTTTTAGAGAGAGAAGAGGGAGAAAGAGAGAGAGAGAGAGAGAAACATTAATGAGAGAGAACATCAATTGGCTGTCTCCTGCATGCCCCCTACTGGGGATTTGGCCCACAACCTGGGCATGTGCCCTGACTGAGAATTGAATCAGTGCATGGGT